TCTCTTGGCGCCTATTGGCGCTCTCTTGGAGCCACTTGTGACACTCTTGGGGCATCCCTGGCCACGTTGGGATATCTCCAATGCCTCTCGGGCCGTCCTAAAGGCCCCTCGGTCCCATCTTGGGCCGCCTGGCCGCCCGCTTGGTTCCCGTCTTTACCGTCTTGGGCGCGCCCAGGGGGTCCCTGGAGACCCCTCTGATGCCCCAGAACAAACTGGCATTGCCTCCCTTTTACCTCTCCTCATCCCTCTTCGGTTTCGTCAACTGGCTTCGACACGTTGGAGTGCCATGTTGGGTCGTGTTCGGAGCATCTGGAGGCTTTCTTGCGGCCCTCTCGTAAAATTTATGTTTTTTTTGTTGGGCCCTCTTGAGCTGTGTTGAACCCCCTGTCGCCCAATGGGATCATTTCATTTGCCCCCCACTTCCTCCCCCAAGCCTCCTTAAGGTGGGGCGGCGGTCTATACCCCACAGGGGCGTTCAATTGCATGATCAAGGCCACTGGTTACATTAAATGCCGTTCCTCTCTGTCACACGATGACCCGACGCACAAACGATACGGAAGTTAAGTTTCCAACCCCAGGTCGAGGGCCCTGTATTCGGCTGCAGACGCATCTGAATCGGTGGTCCAAAGAGGGGGTCCTGAAGGATGGGGTCCGAAGGACGAGGCGCCTCAAGCAGCGCAAATCCACCCTCGGATCCCTTCACATCCTTAGCTCACTGTCCCTCAAGACCCCATCTTCGAACCACCGAATGATCGGGGAGACGTAAGACTCGGGTTCGGGGGACTCGGGTTGGCCGGAGGTAACTATCATGAAAATGACGAGACTCAATCTGAAATTTGACGCAAACTCCCGCTTCAAACATCCCACGAAAACCCGACCGTCAAAATCCACGACGATCTTGTCAAACAACGTCGGCAAACCCGAGTTCTGGCTTACTCGAGTCTTACGCTTCCCCGGAATGAATCTGGATGGGTGCCGACGCCATCGGCGAACACACCTGGCATTTGGAGCAACTGTCGTTGGCAACCCCTGCGTGCCGTCGCCTGCCGCCGTCACGCACACCCTCGGCGTGCCGACGCGCGCCGTCACATCCTCCTTCTCCTCCCCCTCCTCCTCCTCCTCCTCCTCCTCCTCCTCCTCCTCCCCCCTCCTCCCCCTCCTCCTCCTCCTCCTCCTCCTCCTCCTTTTCCTCCCCCTCCTCCTCCTCCTCCTCCTCCTCCTGCTCCTCCTCCTCCTCCTACTAATACTCCTCCTCCCCCTTCTCCTCCTCCTCCTCCTTTTCCTCCCCCGCCTCCCTCTCCTCCTCCTCCTCCTCCTCCTCCTCCTCCCTCCTCCTCCTCCTCCTCCTCCTCCTCCTCCTCCTCCTCCTCCTCCTCCTCCTCCTCCTCCTCCTCCTCCTCCTCCTCCTCCTCCTCCTCCTCCCCCCTCCTCCTCCCCCCTCCTCATACCGGCGGGCGTCGGCACACAGAGCATCGTGCGTCGCCGCGAGCCAGAAGCTGCCTCGCCAAGTCCGCCGGTGTCCGCCGATGGCGTACCCCATGCGCGCTGAGAGGCGCGCGTGTGCACCAGCGGGGCAGCATGACAGCCCTCGGGGATTTTCTGACCAGGGTCAATCCAAACCCGGGTCAATCCAGACCCAGGTCAATCCAGACCCGGGTCAATACACCCCTGGCTCTGCAGGATCCTGCAAGATCCGTCGCCTGGGCTGACCCCTGTTTGCATTGACCCCCGTCTGTTGAGCCCCGAGGCCCAAAACTTCTGGGGAGACAGGCGGCAGCACAGAGCATGCCCACGTGAGGAACGCGGCGCCTCAGCTCCTCCTCGTGGGCTAGCTTCTGCTTGTCCAATTCCGCCGCGCTCGCCTGCGCCGGATCGGTCAGTGTTGAGTCACTACAAGAGCGCGCAAGTTGTTCAAAGCAGCGGAGGCCCAGACGAACGTGGAAGGCAATAGGTTCCAATTCAACTTCGTAGAATTATTAAATGGTTAAATGGCTCACAAGGCTGACCAGCCAAATCATATCAAGTGAATATCGCTTCAAATGTTCACGTCCCAGAGCAGCTGCAAACATACATGCAATGCTAACCTGCAGGAGCGTCCGCAACCACTCTCAAAACACATGATTGGCAATGCTAACGTGCACATGCACACTAAAACCCGAGTATCTTCAATGCCAGACGTCAGGATGGAGTCTGCCTCTGTAGATTCACTCGGGTCCTCCTCCTCCCGATAACATGGAGACAACAGTCTGAATGGAGCAGGGGCGAACAGAGAGAGGGCGATGACGAGGAGGACGGGCAAGCGTGGGAGTGGAATGATCAATACGAGCTCATGGTATTTTCAACGCTGCCTTTTAACGCAAGGGGCTTAACCCCTGACAAGTCTGTCCTGCACCGCCATCGCGATATGAGAGCAAGGCCTAAATCCTGACAGAGGAATGGCAATAATCACGATGAGCGCCAGACGGGGACATTGAAGGGACATGCAGCCAAACGGTCGCTGAAATGAAGAACGGCTGCGACGCCACCTGCAGCACAACCAGCAGTAACATCGTGAAGACAAGACCCCAAACTTGTCAAGGGGGGCCCCTATTTTTCTCACCTGGGGCCCCGTGACGACGTCGCGAACAACTGTGGGCCCCCGCTCGCCGAATGACCCCGCACGGGCAGTCCGATCCCGCCTCCTCGCCGCTCCCCCTCCGGCTTGCCCCTCCCTCCCCCTTACCCCCTCCGTTCCTCCGTCCCTCCGCCCTGCCGCCTCCTTCCTCGCTCTTCCCCTCCCTTCCAACCCCCCACCCCCTTCCGCCAGCCCTCCTTTCCCCTTTCCGCCGTCGCCCCTGCCCTCTTCTTGCCCTCCTCCCCTCCTCCCGTGTTGCTCGGGGGTCTCTCTCTCTCTCTCTCTCTCTTTGCTTGCTCCCTCGATCCCTGGATCAAGCAGGCTGGCCAGGGGCGGACATCACTGAATCTCAAGGAGCTTCAGTTGGGGTCCTACTCTTACCCTCCCTCCTCTCCTCCCCACCCCACCTGCCTGCCCCATCCCAGGTGCCCACCGCTGAAAGAGGCTACAGACGGACTGATGTTCGGGCGCCATTTGAGCGAGTTGCCCTCGCCGACGGCCCTGCCTCCTAAGCGTGCGGGCGTGCGCCCTCATCTGGGCCAGGCAGACACAACACTTGTGAGTGGAGCGGCCCTGGTGCGAGCCCAGGTCTGCTGGCCGTAGACAAATCGGTTACCCGGCTATAAGTTGAAGCCCGTGTAAAGACTAAACTAGACTGAGCACGAGGTAGACTGACACATGTTGCTGCATTGCGGCGGTTTGAATTTCGATGCGTTGATCCTGGCTGTTCCGATGAAAAGGTAGCGCAACCACGCAATGCGACGCGTCGTAACATAGAGCATTCAAAACGCCATGCAGTGCAAACCACACCAAAGCAATGCACATACATGCAGAGTACAGCAAACGACATCAAAAGCATGGCGGCCCAAACACTGTGGCGCAGTGAAGTTCAAACCCCAAAACAATTCAAAGCGAAGCGGGTGCCATGATGACATGCAGTTTAGAACAAAAGAGAACGTCCAATGCAACACAATGCAATTCGAAGAGGTGCAGACCGAACCGACGAAGAGCCACGTAACACACGGCAGCCCGAAGCGACAATGCAATGCAATGCGAGTCGAAGCAGTGCAAAGACAGGCAGAGTAGCTCAGAGAGAAGAGGCTCTAAGCACAAGAGTAACCCATAGCGCACTAGCAAATCACAACGCAGCAGAATGTCATCGCCATCCTTTAGGAAACCAGGGCCACCCGTAACGACAGGGAGGAGAAGCTGCTGAAAAATGAGACGTCTGCAACATCAAGCCTTGACGGTGTCGGACGGGTCTGCGCCAGGCACCCTGGAGGTGTGGAAATACTTTTCTCTTCTCCTTGTCCTCCTCCCCCTCCTCCTCGGCCAGAAGCGGGTGCTGCCGCGGTGTGACGAACGGACATGCTGTGCACAGCAAGATCGAGCACCCCTCGGTCAAAGTCTGCTCGGAGTTTGAGATCGGCCGAAGATGTATGGGCCCGCTCTCTGTTAGCAAGCACCTCTTGGGAAGTTGTCATGCAACATATCCACAGGTTGTGAAGCCCGATTGAAGAACCACCACGCCAAATTAATCCATATGAACTCACTGCTAAGCCCGGTTGACCGGGGTTGAGCCGGATTCAACGGAATGATGCTGGACTCGGCCTGATTTCGATCACGAGAACAACCAGAGCCCATGCTGAATGTCACCTCCCAGGAGTTTCACCCTAGTTTCAGAACGACGTACCTCTGCGGCGACCGCTGCCTCAGCCTCGTGCGCACGGCCCCGTGCACGGCGCGGTCGTCTGAGGCAGAGAGCGGGGCAAGATTTTTGATACTTCTGAGAGAGATCCGGGCCAAACCGATGAAGGGAGGATTCCTGGTGATCGGCGCAGCTGCACTCCCCCTGAGATGGAGACAGATGTCTCGTCCCAGAAACCCTCGTCCCCAAACGTTGACATCTCTTCGAGGGCCGAACTTCACTTTCATCGGCGTAGGCGCCCTCGCTTTACTTTAGCTGGCTTCACCCGCTTTCCCCCGAGAGGCCAACCTCCCGGTCCCTCGGGGGCGAGGCCCTTGCCGAAACTGTGATCCAGAAAACCATATGTTAAGAAACCTGGGCTAGCTGTCCAGGAATTTCTTGAAACGAGCCATGAAACGAGCCCAGGAAATTTGTTGGTTCACGTTGGAGGGACAAACGCACTTGTATTTAAGAAACTGGGGAAACTGGGCTAGAATTCCAGTAAGTTCGGGAGGAGGTTTCTGAAACACATGCTCGACCGTATGTGGCTCTGCGTCGGAAGAGTGCGTCGGCGTGGCGCCTCGGAGAAGATCGGGAACGAGGTAGGAGCACGCACGTCGTCCCAGCAGCGCGCAGCACGCGCAAGGCCGCCGCACATGTCACTCTGAATTCAGCAGCGCTCTCACGTGATGATGCCCTTCATGAACTTGTTGAAGCGCTGTAGGATTTCTTTGTCGACGGGCATCCCTTGGAAAAACAACAGAAGCCACATTCACGTGCCGCACCAAGCGGCGGGCGACGACGCCCAGAGTACAGTAGACACGTGTCACATATAAGATTACATCATGCTCTAAGGATATTGGGCCACATTCGCCGCCGATCGTTGAAGATCTGGAGATACTTACTCTTAGGTCGGGCATGTCCCCCTACAGGCTGAATTGGGACGAATAATAAAAGATACCACAAAAAGCATACAACACATATTCAAAAATGGTCAAACACTGTCCCCATATTATTGTTGGACTATTTTTGGATATTCTCCCTGTAGAGGGACAGGCCCGACTTACACTTACCCCAAAACTTCTGCGGGTCCATGGGGCCATCTAGGGATGCGGAATCTCAGTGAGGCACCTGCTGGCAGGGCCGATTTTGTCCTTTGATGCGCCTGCTTGAACAATTCCCCCCTCCTCCTCCTCCTCCTCCTCCTCCTTCTCCTTCTTCTCCCCCTTTACCTCCACGCCCCCGTCATCCTGCCCCCCTCTCCCCTCGTCCTTGGCACGAGCCCTCCGCCCACGTGCGCCGCAAGTCAAACGAAAAGAGAGAGACTGCCGCCTCTTCTCCGGCAAGGGACGATCCCTGCCAGCCGCTGCTGTCCCAGCCCGGAGACGGCAGGACGGAGCTCGCAGGGAGGGATGGTGATGGAGAGGTGCGGAAGAGGACGTCAAGGATGGTTCACCCCAACTGCCGGATGGTCCGCTCGTGGTTGGATATGCTCGCTGTGCGAGTTTTGCTGCCTCGCGGGTGTCCAACTTAAATTCTCCCTGTCCCCCGCACGTTTCGGACTGGGCGGCTGAGTGTCTCAGGAGACTCGCGATGGGACAATTCAAACTCTCTGCTAAGGTGTATCTGCTTTCTTCTCAATGAATGACTACAGGCCTAGCGCAACGCCCCAAAGTGGCTGCGGTATGGTTGAGTCAGTCGTGCCGCAGGTTGTGCCCAGAACGGAGTTGGGTTATTGCCAGAGGCCAGACGTGCTTGACCTCCCAGCTCAGGCAAGGGATGGGTTTTGCCTCCCATCGCACAGCTGTCACGAGGTTTGGGGCCCAGTGCCCACTGGGCCGCACATGGTCCAGAGTGGTGCGAGAAGCTGGGGGCACCTTGCACCAGGAGAAAGCAACTGCGCTCCAGTGCACAGATCTGTGCTTGCCAGTCCAGATGCCTGCGAAGGTGAAAGACTCCAGCTCGGGCCCATGGGAGGATCGGTGCCTCTGCCGCGCAATGCGCTTCTGGACGACGCACGAGGGTGCAACTGCTTGCCACACAGGGGAGGGGGTGTGAGGAATGCGGGAAAGAGTAGAAGAAGGAAAAACCACATAAACATACATCTGTGGCGATTCGCGCGGATTTCTTGGATCCGGCGCCGCCCCTGGCGCGCTCCGCGCGCCAGGCAGGGGGTCCAGCGCGGATCCAAGCAATCCGCGCGGAGCGCCAAAAGTTTATGGTTACGTGGTTTTCTCTTCTTCGAGGGGTGGAATGAATGCGGGAAAGAGGGTGCGTCCGGAGGCCGGGGGAAGGAAAGCATCTGCGTTGACTGGGCCCGGTCCGCCATGTGCGCCTGGGCCTCCGACGGGCCCCCTGCCCCCTCCCTCCAGACGGGGGCGGGGCGAGGCAACACATCTGCCGGCGAAAGCTCGAGATCTGTGGGGGCTGGGAGGCCAAACGATCCGACGACATGTTCTTTCAGTGCGCGGGCCCCACAGGTCCCGACCCCTTCCCGAGGGTCGGTTCTGCGCCCCAGATCCGCTCAACATGTCCCCAGGGACCAGAAACGGGCTCCAGGGGCACAAGTCGAGACAACACGCCCGAATTTGAATAATCATAGCGACGGAAAACTTGGAGCATGGACAATGCATCGGGCGCCGCGCTCTGGCGCAGCCCCGAGGCCCCGGTGGCCCCGGGCCGGGGCACAGGGCCCGCGGTGCCCGCAGAGCCGCTGGCGGGGCGGCGGAGGCCGCACTCCTCCGCGTAGGCGCCGGGTGGGCAGCAGGAGATGCCGGCGGCGCTGTAAAAGTAGCGGATGGACCTCGGGAGCACGGGGGAGGGTGAGAGGAGGAGGGGGATAGGAGGACGGGGGAGGAGGAGAGGACCAGAGGAGACGACAAGAGGAGGAGGAGGAGGAGGAGGAGGAGGAGGAGGAGGAGGAGGAGAAGGACCACTGAAAACCCGAGGCTCGTCAACGATGTTGGAGTAAGCCCTCCCTCCAAGCTCCCTCTTCATAGGCCCCTCACAGGGGTTCATTTCCACGGAGGGAACTGCCTCGTTGGGAGAGGACCCAACGAACACCCTGAAGTGTACCAGAACACATTTGTGCGGACTCCAGCGCCACGAATCAACATGACTGTTGCGTGTTGACGAGTCTGAATCCTGCCGGAGCAACATTCCTGGGACTTCGACACCGCGGATCAACGCAATTGTTGCGCCCTCACAGTACTGAGACCGTCCAACGCATAATTTGCAGCACGCGTACCATGGGAATCCGTGGAACGACTGCAGAGGTTTAAGACGAGCGTGCACGGCGTTGGGGCGAGAGCCACAGTTTGAAAACGATCCGCCCTCAATCTATGAAGGTCTTGCAACATTTGGTAACGAAAGTGCGCGGCGCCAAAGCGAGAGTCTCATTTTGAAAACCACCTCATTCAATCCGTGAAGCCCTTGCACATTTCTACAACGAGTGCGCGCGGCGCTAAGGCGAGAGCCACACATTGAAAGCCACCCGCCCGCAACCCGTGAAACTCTTGCAATAGTTTACAGCAAGTATCCGCGGTGCTAAAGCGAAAATCAGATGTTGAAAACAACCCGCCATCGATCCGCGAATCTCTTGCACCGTTGTCAAGCGAATGCGCGCGGTGCTACGGCGAGAACCACGTTCAAAACAACGAACCGCCCTCGATCCGTGAAGCTCTTGCAACTTGTTGAAGCGAATGTGCGCGGCGCTAAAGCGAGAACCACATTTAAAAACGACCGTCCCCCAACCCGCACAGCTCTTGCAATGTTTTACAACGAAATGTGCGCGGCGTTGGAGGCGAGAACCCCATTTTGGAAGCGGCCCGCCGTCCATTTGTGCATCTCGTGCCACTTTTATTTATTTCAAGGCGACAAGCGGTGAAGAAATCTCAAGCGAAACGCCTGGCCCGCCCTTTCGACCGGCCTCGG